ACCTTCCTATAAGAGCTACCCAGTGGAACATCAAATGCTGTGTTTTATTGAGAATGAGCGTTAGATATAATTATCTCCTTTTTAATATTCACCTTTAAAGATATATAAACATTGAACTTATCCTGATCCATCTATATGGTACAAGACAGACTTCATTAATTTTATCTACATGTATTATTTTATTGCTTTCATGAAACATTGTCTAAACATTTCTCCATTCATATTCCTAGAGTATTTTTCAGTTTTAGGAACCTGTCGCACGAAAACTGGAAATAGTATACAATAAGTATATCAGACCAAAACCAGTTTTTGTTCTGCCATATATTATGATCTTGTGACATTGGCTGATTCACATTTCTTATGCAGACGCAACATGATCTTTTTTTGTTTATTCATTTAGGTCGCATTCATTCTTTTACTTGGCAACACACACCATTTTTTATGGATTATTCTTCTACGGATATTTCACAAGTTTTATGTTTCTAGTATGGACTATAGGGTGTGTGGACGGTAGCTTGCATTTGCTGTCTTAAATACGTACATGTCTCATTCTTGATTTGTATAAATATATATAACCTAATATATTTATGAAACTGTTTTAAAATATCCGTTTCATATTGAAACATGCTCATAATTAAACTTACTGTCTCAGATTTATCTTTTAAAAGCATTATTACTTGGTTTAAGAACAAAATAAAAGAAACAAAAGAATGGAATGCAACCCCGAAATTCGCAGTGGTCAGAAGGTAGGACTTCAATCTTACAAATGAAATCTCATTTCAAAATTATCAAATATAAAGAGGTGTTAAGTCTAAACTTGAGCTCATATTAAGTCATGAATTACTAATGTTAATATAATGCCAAACACGTAGTTTGATTACCGAAAAACCCAAGATATTGATTTTGTTCAATGTTATTCTGATTTTCTAATTTATTCACAAGATCTTGCCTTGATAATGCCTTAATAAGAGCCTTATTTGGTTATCAGAACAGAACAGAACATATAATTTATTTTGAATTAAGCATATACAGCTGACATCTTCATATACAACAAATATATACATGCATGAATATGGAAAATGGTAATCTATGACACAATGCTGCTCAAATTACTTATAAAAAAGAACTCGCAGCTGCATTAAGACGGTCACATTTTAGGATGCTGCAAACTACATTTATTAAAAAGAGTTGACAGGAGAAGAAATCCATACGTCTTCCGACACTTACTAGAATAATTCATACTGAACATTTGGTTTGAATAAGCTAAGGAATTGTGTGCACTTTAACATACAATACAACAGAGGATTAATAACCCTTTTCATGCATCAACATCTACAGAAGCGCGAGGACTCATTTAAAGCCCTCGTCCTATGGGCTTAGGATTTAACTTCTACAGATGTTGATGCACAAACACATGTATTAGAGTCATTCTTGTATAAAAGGATATGACTGTTTCGGTGATTCTACGATATGTTGTTTACCGCTTAAAGAAAATGGTTTCGTATACATTTTAACTCGCTTGTGTTATGTTTTGATAATAAGATAACTGAGGGCCATCGTTAAAATTAGCGGTTAGCATTGTGTAAAAATCATGCTATCACTAGGACATCACATAGAGTGTTCGACTGTTCTCAGTGTTGATAGCTAAACAAGAACCTAGATAATGAAGAATTCTCTATATTTAAAAGGGTCATGATTCGTCAAAATCCATTATAGAGTTATTGGCCTTTAATACCTTCTATTACCTTCTATTATGCTCATAAATAAGTGTATAAGGTTTATACCTATTCTATTATGTAATTTTGACAAAACCAATTTCCATGAAAAACCTTAGCCAAACTGGAAAACTGTTTTGTGTACAATATCGCTCCCTCGCTTATTCGAAATATCAAGCTAAATAATGTGCTCTCATGGCTTTATCCATAAAATGCAAGTTTTTTTCTCTGTGAATGTATACCTGTCAGGCTGGCCAGTTTATTAGTGTGTTTTATGTATGAAAAGTGTTGATCATATAAATTATCCCTATCATAGAAATAAGTCCAAAAATCATTATTTAATGGCGGTCATCTTGGATTTGGAAGCCATATTGAATCTTCTACCAATGCTACTAAAGCATTTTCCAAGAAATTACCATTTTTGACCTACAATGTCAATTTATATCATTTTAATGCCGTAAATAACTTCATTTTGTCATGTCCCATGTGCATTGTACATTTTGGAGGCCATCTTGGATTTTGGCGGCCATCTTGGATTTTTAAAAAGTGGATCCCAGGCTGAAATGAATTGAAAAACTATTTCCTACCACCATGCCACGTTTCATGCTTTTCACAGAAGGTGCACAGTTATTTCACTGATTTCTTGGACTATTATTAAATAATTTTGATAATAATTATTAATATGATACATTTATTACTCGCCCAATGTGGCAAAAATTTGGCAAACTCGGTTTAAGTCTCACGGCGTCATATGAATTTTAAGAATAAATACTAGTTGGAAGTTATTAAAATGTAATTTTGATAGATCAGATATTACTATTACACAAGTCGCAAGTGTATGTAAGCAAGGGCAAGGAATTTGATTGTTATGAATTATAAGGTTGGTATACGTGTGTCATGCGCTTTTTTGTCACTTGCACACGAAGAGCACACGCTTAACACTTAGTAACATCAATGAAATGCTTGTATTGAAGACAAAAGTTTGATAACCGTTGTTTTAATAAGTTTATCTTCCCCATTAATTCGAAATCAAAAACATATTTTAATGTTTCGCCGACCGCTTTTTAAACATAACAATAGACATCTGAAAAGACATTTCAAAATAGGACTCCCCAGGATAAGAAGCAACTGCGATGATGCGTGCTTGTCTATAGTGGAGAGCTATTCTATACCTTCAGTTATTGTTGTTTTTTTTGTTTCGTCTGTTTTTGTTTTTTGTTGTTATTGATTTCTTTTTCTTTTTCTTTTTTTTTTTGGTTTTCTTTGTTAAAATTGTTTTTGTTGCTGTTGTTTTTCGTTAAATTGATAAAAATAACAAATAATTGAATACATGTATTATGTTATCATTTTTATTTGGAACGTTTTTTTTACATTAAAGGTCTTGCAAGAAAAGTATTGTTTTATATTTGTTTCTTTCACACCACTGCTTTCTTGTTGTTTCGTCCTTTTTTCTCTGTCAATCTGTAGCAGACAATAATCTATGCAAATGCACTGGCAATAACGTAAACAGCTATGCACTTACAATATATAAGCAATCTAATCACATAAGAAAAATGATAGTTTCATCAAAAACAGTGAAAATGTTTAGTTTGGAAACAAAAGCATGCTATGTGTATATTTCGTTTAAAACACAAAGAGATTCAACCTTAGATAAAAATAGGAGACATACTTCAGATCTTGATAAAGAATACTATATAAAAATAATTTATTATCTCTTTTACTGATAAGAAACAAATGAATAATGACTGTTAAAAAAGTCGACTTACTGTATCCAAAGACTTCAACTTCACAAAGATGAAATACTACCTCCTTGTCCCTTAAGGTTATTCGGACTAAACGAGCTTCACTGGGCAAATGAAATATTGAAATCACCTATTTTTTTCCTTCGCTCCCCGCCAAATTTCCCTCTTCCTCTTTTGACGGAGATCTCAACTTTTAACCCTTACAAATAAAAAAACTAATTAATTTTTTACCCCCGAAAGCAACTACAAAAAAAAAGGGGCTGAAATTTTTGGTGAGAAATTGTTCATTTTTAGGAAATTCAAAAAATACAACATGTATAAGTAAAAAACTCGATGTGAAGGGATACATAAAACATTTTTTTATAAAAAAAAAAAATTTGTTACGGGGAAATCGAAAAAGGTTAAAAAAAACCAAAACAGAAATTTTTTAAAAAAACCTCTCTTTTCATATTCTTTGAATAAAGGCCATTTTTTTCAAAACGACTTTTTCCCCCAAAACTACCCTTAACAACCAAAATATAGAAAAAAGCTGCTTTTTAAAAAAAGATTTTTAAATTACCCGCATAACATGAAAAATTTTAAATAAAACTTTGTCTCGTGCAAAAACCCCCACCTGTCAATTCACTTTTCAACAACTTGATGGCAAAATTGATCAATTTTATACCTTTGGTTTTAAAATATTTTTAAATTATGTTACAAAGACACTTTTGAACAAATACGTAATTTTTTGTGAATTTCAAAATAATACAATAAATATTTTAATTGAAAATGGAGTTGATTTCTATAATTACACTTTCAAATACAACATGTATACATGGATTACATTAATGATGAAAATCATTACTAAAAATATGAATTTCAGAAAAAATCAATGATAATGAATATAAGATAAATTGATAAAGAATACACCACCAGTCGTACAAGGTTAAAAATACTGGAGTGGTGGAAGTTACATAATTTACTGAGGTTGTCGTTGAGACGTAACGAAATTATGTAGGTGGCATGTCTGGTGAACTGGGACCTCGACTATCGCCTGAGTCATATTCATCCAAAAGGTGCCCTACATTTCCGTACTGGGTCAACACCAAACACAATACATATGTTATGAATATATTCATCCTTAAAAGTGTACACCATTTTAATAAAAGCACTCGTCAACTTTATATGATGTCAATAGTTGTATCAAATTTTAATTAAATACGAACTTCAAACATGTTTCATGACTCAAAAAGGCCAAGAATAATCTTTTTCAAAATTTTAATTCGAATATCTTAATGAATTCAATAATATACGATAAACCAGACAATGTATGATATTTTAGTGATATAGCAAATGTAAAAAAATAGATACATACAGCAGCAGTCCTTCCTGTTGGTGATATCAACTCGACTTATGTAATATACATCCTGAAGATCAACTTGCCACCAGGGACTCATGATTTGTCCAGTATGGAAACAATGGTTGTTAGCCATAGTGGCATCAGCATTTCCATCATTGCCCATGTCAGCAATCCAAGTTTTGTTTTGTCCATCATAGTTATTTACCTGACTCGCTGGTTTTTTCTCGGAAAGATTCACGAGAGCTGAAGCAAAACAGCCAATTATAAGAAACCATAAATTTTTAAATTCACATTTATTTGAAAATACTTTTTTCATCACCAATTGTTTTTATTGCCTTAGAAGTTCCAGTTATCAACAAAATGAAGACATTTCTACCTTATGTAAACGCAACAAGAAAACTACGGAATGCCGTTAGGGCCATCGCCTATATATGTGTTGATCTAAAACGCGATAGTCGATAGTACGATGGTGAAAACGCGAAATCACGAAACTACGATGGTGAAAACGCGAAAGCACGATGATGAAAACGCGAAAGTACGATATAATGAAATCGCGACAATACGATACTACGATGATGAAAACGCGATAAACTATCGTGTTTTCACCATCGTACTGTCGCGTTTTCACCATCGTAGTTTCGTGATTTCGCGTTTTCATCATCTTACTGTCGAGTATCGCGTTTCAGATCAAACCATTCATAGGCGATGGCCCTAACGGCATTCCGGAATGCCGTTAGGGCCATCGCCTATGAATGTGTTAATCTGAAACGCGATAGTCGATAGTACGATGGTGAAAACACGAAATCACGAAACTACGATGGTGAAAACGCGATAGTACGATGATGAAAACGCGATCGTACGATGATGAAATGACGACAGTACGATGGTGAAAACGCGATAGTACGATGATGAAAACACGACAGTACGATGATGAAAACGCGATAGTACGATGGTGAAAACGCGATAGTACGATGGTGAAAACGCGATAGTACGATGATGAAAACACGACAGTACGATGATGAAAACGCGAAATCACGAAACTACGATGGTGAAAAGGCGACAGTACGATGGTGAAAACACGATAGTTTATCGCGCTTTCATCATCGTAGTATCGTACTGTCGCGTTTTCATCATCGTACTTTCGCGTTTTCATCATCTTGCTTTCGCATTTTCACCATCGTAGTTTCGTGATTTCGCGTTTTCACCATCGTACTATCGACTATCGCGTTTCAGATCAACACATTCATAGGCAATGGCCCTAACGGCATTCCGTAGAAAACAGCTTTCAGCCTTTAATTAGCCAAGTAGTTTGTAAAAAGGCTGGAGATTGGAAACAATTTTTACAAGGGTACAGTTTTTGTAAAGGAAAATTTAATCTAGTGAATAAAATTTAGTGTTTTATCATCTCCACCTCTTCATCGGTTAAACAGTATCGAACATTTACGGCCGTTTAATACAACTGGTTACTGCTCTAAGTTACATTTACTATTGAATTTGAAACTGTTTTTAAACAATAATAATGGAAATAATAAGATAGCTTTTAGTTGATTGCTTTTTACCTGCGTTCGATTCAGTTGTTTTCAGAACAGTCATAAGCAATAGGCATACCTGAAGTATTAGTTATTTGTCATTAAATATGAGCATTTTACAACTTTTGTTGGTTTAATATCTGTTCTATTACTATAAATTATCATACTATTGGGGGTGATAATAGTGAATTAAAATACATATTATAATTTAAGTATAGGGTAAAGTTTATTAGTACGTATTTATTATACGCACCAGTCGTGCGACCAATTAGAGTTTGTAAATACGTACTGATAAATTTTAACCAGATTAGTGTTTTAAATTATTTTGATAAACAGTCGATTTATTAGACTGATTAAAGCTGCACGCCTCCAGATGAGCCAACATATTTCAAGAAAATCAATATTGAGAAAAATATATTACAATTTTAAGAAAGGTAAAGTCATTCAAGATCCAAGATAGATTTTTAATGTTATGTGCGGTTTAAGACTGCTTCTGCAGTATTTTATCACCATATTACTACTGCGTTTACTAACTCAGTAATTTTTGGTAATTTTCTTAGATTGTAAGTGCCGATTGCAATATGTAAATTACTATTTTTGTTCAGCTGACAATATTTTACTTTCAAATACATATCTAAAATTTTTATGAAAATTAACATGAATCTGGAGGCATGCTGTTTTAACAGTTTACCTATTTACCAAAGTAAATGTGTTACGATTCATTTGAAATATTGCAATCCTATTGGACAAAATAATAATTTCAAACACTAAGAAATATTTTATTTTAAAATATGAGTGCGTATTCAACGCTCAACGTTTTACTCAATGAATATGAAAGGTAATCAGAGATTCTCAAATTTTGAAGAAAAAAAAAACAATGGAGTTTTACGCGTATGTAAATGAGAAATGTGAATAGAAATCAATGTTATACCAAGGAAGGGAATATAAACGTCTTCATGCTTAACAGATTGACAATATTCCCAGCTAGTAGACAAGAGTGAAGTCAAAAAGGTCTATTTTCTTCTGAAATTACAAAACATGTAATTCATTCAACTAACAAAAGTGTAAAATTATTTTTTTAATATTAAATTTTTACTACAGAACACATTCTTCCGCTGGTCGGCGACATGTCCATTTAACAAGATTTGACCATTTCTACCCGTACTAGGACCACCCTATGACAATCAAAATGGAGAAAAAATACCACGTGATACAAAAAAAAATCAAAATGGGGTGCTTACGGAGCACGCCGTCCACCATGTTTTTTCTGTTGAGTTACCTTTATAATTATATAAAATTTAAATATCGTTTCATGTACGAAGCTCGAAACCAGTGAAATGTAATTTCAGGTAAAAAATGTATACATATTGTACATGAATATCTAAAAATAATAATATTCAAATCATTTTCAACAGATAAAATGTCATGAAGTTATACAATGTCCTAGCTAAGACCGCCATGCCTAGGACAAAAAAAACATAAATGCAATTCATGTGCCAAATACAACTTACTTACAATTAGGACCCTTTCGCTGCCAGAGGGTTATTTATTTATTGATCACCTATTTGCCAGAAGGTTTTCTAAGAAATTACTATATTATTAATTATTATTATTAATATTATTTGTTATTAGTATTATAATAATTATATATGTTTCCAAATCTGCTAGTATAATAATAATTATTGTCGATAGTATAATTATCTATATATTTATAATGATTATTATTATAATTATTATTACTATTATTATTTTAGAAACTGCAAAAGCCGTCCATATGGCAAATACGCCGAAAGTAATATGCTGTCCCTATGGCATTGAAAGGGTTAGTTATACAGAATATGTTTCTTAATATGCAATACATATCTATTCTGATTTTGGCTTCTAAGGATGACATTGTGGTTAGAATGACATTGTACGAATGTGCCTTTGATATGAAAGAAGAAATTCAAAATAATTCAATTTCATATTTACGGAAAAGATACTCATAAAAGTATTTCAATGAATTTTACACACCTCCTCTATTGTTTGTGACAGGTCTATATTTGTCAGATAGACCTGTTTACACAAAAAAGCCCGTTTTAAGGTCTATCTTTTCCAAGCGCACAGGTCTGATCTTGTCAGATAGACCCGGTCATGTAAGACCCGTGACAAAATAGACCTGTCAGTGGGAAGACAGAGAAAACATTAATTTAAGATTTATTTAATAGGGACATTTTTAAATATATATTATATTATAATAATCTAAACGGTTCTTCTGGCATTAATTAGTTCACAAATGACAAAAGTGTAAGCTCCAAAGTTCATTTCTATGAACCTATAACTGTTATCAAAGCTTCCTAATTACGATTTTAAATAACAATATCCATAACATCTTAAGCGCTCTATAAAATTCACAGAACATAAAAATTGTATCATAAATTCATATCGTAAAAATATAACAAAAATATATCCAATAAATAGAGGATATTCAAGTTTTTTCTATAAACACATGATTTATTTTCATCGAGTGGTATGAAAATAAATATTTCATGAGTGGCGGTAGCCACGAGTGAAATATGGTAGTTTTCATGCCACAAGATGAAAATAAATCATGTATTTTTAGAAAAAACTTAATTGAATTTTCTGTTTATTATATACATTTATCTCTTTTTTGCGATAAAATTTGAAAGACTTTCCCTTAAATTTTGTGTACTGGCAGAATTTAAAAGAAAGTAGTCCGGCAAGACACCAGTGAAAATACGGAAAATATGTTTCACTGCAGTGAAAAATAAATTTTTACAGTGAAAATACGGAAAATGAAAATACGAATTTTATTTCATCAATATTTCTCAATATTTCATTTATAAGTATATAATAAATACGTATATGTGATTAAAATGACGTACATTTGATATACGCTTTGCATTGGAAAAAATGCTGCACAACAACGTAAAAGTAATTGTGTATTGATTTAATCATAGTGACAGCATAATATACAAGTGGTTTACAATGGGTACATTTTTCATAAGTTTTTCGAATATCAATAGAAACAATTGAAATGTAATCATTCTTTTATATACCTCCCATTACAGACCAATTCACTTTAATATTGACAAATTCTTAATTATTATTTTTAAAGGAAAAAGCAGAGCTAAATGCAAAATATTGGTTATTTTTAATAAGCAGAAGGCTGACAAACGCTTTTACCTGTACATGCGCTGTGTAAAAAAAATAATTTATGTGCATGATATCAAATGCTTCAGATCAGCCATTGTTCAAACCAATAGTTTGACTGTGTGTAAGTTGGATATCGGCCTCGTACATCGATCTTTCTGTTTAGTAAAAACCTGGTCACGAATTTCATGAAACACCTCGATCGCTACGCGCTCTCAGTGTCACATGAAATTCGTGACCAGGTCTTTCCTTAACAGAAACACCTCGTACCCTGTCGATATCCTATACATAAAAATAAATATTTAGAGAGAAAAATGAAATTTTAAAAATAAATTAATATTTCTACTCACATGTTTCACTGACTGGTCGTCAAAGATGCATATGCTGGTATATCCATAGTTTGCGTTGATTTATTTACACATGTTCTGTCTACCTTGCAACATATTGCAACATTTTAAAAGCCAGAGCAAAAGATTTTAATCATACGCTTAACACTTTGTTGTTAACAAAAGCTTATGGAGTTGGCAATTCCATTTGAAGCAATTGTTTTACTTGTAAGCCCTTTGAAGATAATGCCAACGAAAGATTTTTAAAAAGTAAACAATGGTGAGGATGAGAATATTGAATTTTCTCTAGTAAGTAGCCTATAGTAAGAGATCGAATAAATGTATATATATTTACATTTATTATGATATAATGTAAAAAAACATAATCTTTTTGGCTCAAGGATGCATTCATATTTGTATAAAAATTTAAATTTTCTCTATTTCGCTTGCCTGTTTTAATCACCAGTCTATGAATCAAAATTCATGTATCTTCCGATGAGACAATTTTAATGACTCACAAAATTCATGAAATGTGAACTCAAGTTCAAGGTCAAAACAATAACAAAGTTACTTTTATGCGTGCCACAAGTATATTTTTTGCGTTTTTATGAACAGAGTTTTTTTTTTATAATTATTGTTATTTGTTTATTTTGTAAAATTTATGAGAAATGATGTCCATTTTGTAATGTTCCAGTAATATCTCATTAATATGGATAGCTGTGTATTCTACAGTTGCAGGGCCTCTTGAAATATAGGCATAACAAATGTTGCCTCTGCTTTATGACAATATCAGATTATAAGTGAGAACGTAGGCATTCTTGTTTATCATATATGATTGTTTAAAGTCTGAACATACTGTTATGTTAAGTGTAAATTTCTAAGCAGCAGATTCAGACAGTGATATTACTTAATGATCATTCTATCATAAAGGAACATCTGCGGATACTTGACCTGATATGATACACAGAAAGATGCGATATTTATCTTAAATCTTATTATATAGAAAATAATTTTGCTTTGACAAAACTACATTGCAAAATTTATTAACATGTACATAAGCAGCAACAGATGAATTTCAACATGTAATTTTGCTATCACAGGCAAAATTTGCATTTCTTCGTTTTAGATCGTTTATTCATTATTCTGTAGATCTAATTGTCTTCAAAATGAATGCACTAGGCAGTCACAGGAACAAAACTTTCTCCTTATAAAGAATAAAATGGTGGTTTCCTAACTTGACCCGCGTGGGTCGGGTTAGAGTGTTAGGATTTCACAATAGTTGTCACGGTGAACACTGGAAACGTTAAAGAACATGTCAAATGAATGACTTAGATTTGTTTCAATCATACAATATCCAGAAATATATGTTATTGTAACTTCCAGGATTTGTTCAAGTAACGTGACTTGTTTTAAATCTACTCGGTGATGCTGTTGGCGTCTAAATTTAGTTCAAAATATTATATGTTATTTTGGTTTTGGAGTGATAAATGTGGATATATTACCTGTCAAGATTTTATATCACCCGAGCCGTTAGGCGAGGGTGATATTTTATCTTGGCAGGTAATATATCCACATATATCACTCCAAAACCAAAATAATAATTTTATTACCCTTCCCGTGCCGAGTTAAGACGATTTTAAAATAAATCATTGCTAATTCAAATGCACCGTCGAAATAAGATTCCCTTTAGTATACCCCTTCACCATAACATGACGTCATATAAATACATGACGTATTATCTTTCGAACATTACGGATGTAAACAAGAGAAAAGGAGTAGTCTGTTGAACGCACTTTTTTGAAATTAATATCAAGATTTCACAAGGTCATATTTGTTTTCTATACTGACGAGATTATGTATCATTGCTCTATTTTGGTAAATATTTATCATTTGACAGTTTAAAAGTGCTTGTAAATCTTAATTTATATCGCGTAAAATCAAACCGTACGCGCATCGCACGGCGCATGTTGTTTACAACGTGGGGTACCCATCGGGGAAATTTAATGTGTATATTACCCGTCTGGCTCGGTAATATCAATTTCTTTCGGGTGATCAATATCCAATCAAAAAGGCGGAAAAAATCTGGAAGGGTAATAAATAAATATATTTACGCTTCAAACCCAAATTATATAGAATTTATACAAAAATTCATGCGGGGGCTTTAAAAAATGTCATTTTAGCATGATTTGAGTACATAAGGTCATTCTAATATTTTTCATTATTAATTTGCCTGAATATCCTTTAATGTCCGATAAATGGTAATAAATACTTCTTTGGCATAGACCAAGAACCAAGTGAGTAACGAATGTGTGATCAACAGGAGGGCAAGATACATTGTTACAAAAATACCATATCCCTGTGAGGGTGATAGTACATAATCCCATAATTCCAAGTAATGGTTTCGGCTATTTTACTGCTAATAAAAGACCCTTCGTATTTATAAGACCACCCACAATAAAAACCAATCCGCAATTTTCTATTGTTAATTTCTGAAATTATTTAAATCACACTGCTATCATCCATTCCACATCCCATTTCTTTGTTTTAGTCTAAAATTGGCTCCGCTAATAAAACGAAACACTTTAGACGGAACTCTTGTGATTGTATAAATGCAAAGGAATGTAATACCATGGTTGCCGTTCACATATGTATTTTATTAAGTGCTAATTCTTATCTGATTTGTGAATATATTATTTGATAAGTTTGATAAAGTCCTTGAGACGAATTGAGAAATAAATATAATTATTTTTCAGTGTTGTGTTGCAATACATTCTTATATGAATTCATGTTAAATGGATGTATTTACAATTAAACATATGTTCAAAATGAAAAATATTGACACTGTGATAGAATATCTAAACCTATAGGTCTGTAGGCACATTTCCATTGATGATCTCTAACACCCAGCAGTTAAAAACCCATTGGTGACCCAGTAGAAATGAGCTGACTTTTTTTTGCGGGGTTTTTTTTTGAAGGCGGAAAATGAATATGTTTGTAAAGGTACGTAACATGTCATTTCATACAGATTTATGTAAAACTTACAAAATCTGATCAGAATAAAAGCTTGATCATGCCATTCATAGCACAAAGACAACAGCCAGGAAATGTATTGATATCTTGTACAACTTGGAAAAACTTCAATGGTATATAGAATTGTAGCTATCTGATTATGTACATTGCGAGTTTCTCATTCAAAACCAACAGCGTATGGGACAAATTTATAATTTTGACAGGGATTTGAATGAAGATGTCATATATCTATAGTGTATAAGATTAATCTACAGTGAAAGAAAACTTGTCATGATTTATTATTATGGTGTGGTGTCTGATTGTGATTCTGTCAAAACAACAAATGCCATCAGAAACGTAGTAAATGATGATTACTTTCAAATTAAATGTAAAAGTAGAAATATATTTAAAGTCTTAATTTAATTACATACTCTACAATCAATGAATTGCTTTACAGAGTTTTGGAGTTTGATCACAATGGCACAGTAAAGTAATGCTAGATGATAATTACAGGCAACATATCTTTGTCAAAAATGTTCAATTGACCTTCATCGCATAACTTTTGATTAAAATGTTTGTAGGCTTGCTAAATATCTAAGCTCTAGCTCTTTGAGTTTTTTAAAAAGAAGTTTTTACAATACACATATACTGCAAGTATCCTGATCTTATCGAAAACAAAACACAAAATCAACATGTAGCTTGAAGAGAGATATTCTATAAATGCTCGACATCTATTGTTCAATTAAAAAAGAATACAACAATATTGTTGTGTTATGTATACTTAAAGTGAAAGTTACAGTGACACAAAAATTATTTGGAAGGGGGTCGTGGAGTAATTTTTAGAAAAATTTTAACTTTTCTATCGTGAAAAATATTAACCATAAAAATTACACATACAATACACACATAAATAACATTATAATAAAAATTCACAAAAATACAAAAACACTAATTAAATACACTTTGATATCACGAAAATTGTTTACATTTGATGTAAAACTTCTCTTTTTAATTCAAAACCACTAGATTTCCACATAAAAAACCTACTTTAAACAAATTTATCAATGATTTAACATATTTTTTTTTTTCCAATAGAATGGCTATCAAGCTTTTTTTAACGCATAAATTTTACTTTTAAAAAAATAAAATTCTCTCTAGAACTTACAACAAAAAAATCTAGGGGTTTTATCCTTCCCCCATTAATATGAACCTAGGGAATATACTCTTAAGTAGTTACACTAAAAGGTACTACATTTTTTTTACTAAAAAATTAAGGGTTTTTAAAAAAAGTAGGATATTTGCTTAAAAACAGCTCCTTTATTTAATTCCATTTACACGCCCAATTCGTACAAATTTGATCTTTAATTTTTTTTTAAAAAACAAAAAAGATCAGAGTTACCGAATACAAATAAAAATTTTATATTTCACACCGACAGTTTTTTGTTGGGAAAAAAATTCAAAATCATTTTTTAAAACAAAGTATAAATTTTTCATATTTTTTTTATTTTGCAATCCCTTTTTAACCAAAATTTTCAAAATTCAATATTTTATGTAAAAAAGAGCATCGAAACACGAGGCATCGATTTTACAGGGGCTACCCCAGATTTAAACAATGCAGAGTGTTTGAGTTCTTTTTTTTTTGATCATATAGTCAAACATAAAAACGTTCACTGTTTTCAAAAAAAAAACCCAAAAAGTAACCAAAGAACAGATCGAATTGAAATTTATTCCTTTCCCTTTTTTCTCGTCACAATAATTAAAACCCCGCAAAAATGAGACAAACAATGGGAACTCTGGAGTGCGGGGAACTAAAAAGCCCCAGTAACCAAGTCAGTATATAGTATACATTTAAACCCGACACATTTTTAAACAGAAAATCCCAAACAAGATATAATTTAAAAATTTACTATTCACCCTATAATATTTATCGTTTTTAGAATCTAACTTTTTTTAAAACCAAAAATCCGTATTATCATTCTACACTAGATTTTAGAGTAAATGTAGTTGTCCATTTTTTTATTTTCGCTGCTTATTTTATTTTTTTTGAAATTTCGACTTTAATCTAATAGACGTTATACTGAGCAAAAAAAAATATAGGTACATATGTAGCCAGATACTTACTTCCCCACTAAAAACATCATTTTTAAAAAACCCTTTTGCAAGGGGAAAAATTAATTAAAGGAAACCCAATATATTTTTAATTTTTATTGGGATTACAAAAAAATTAAATGATAACTCGGATTATTGTACAATTTTACCATCTTTATATCACGGGTCAATACTTTTAGAAATTAAAAGCGCAAAATATTTTCAGACAACATCCTGCTAAGTTCTAAATACTCACTTTGGTGAACGAGTGAAAAAGTTCCCATCTCAGTTCTTAGTTAGTAAGGGGGGTCAATTTTAAAATTTTTCCCCCCTTATTTTAACAAGTTATTAAATTTATGTAAAAGAATAATTTATTTATCACTTTGTTCATCATTGACTTATCTAAAATTTATTACAAATATGTGCGTATGAATACATTTTGGAACGCTGGAATCTGACAGGCAGCCGAATGTAGCTATGACAGCTTGATCATTTTGATATGTTTTAAAATGAGAATTAAAGGTGATCATAGTTTTATATGAACATTTTTTAATGGAAATATAAATATTTTAAGACTGAATATCTTAGAAATTCACTTTTCTGTCTATACAAACTAAAGTAAAAGTCGTAGAGCGCTTCTTCCAGAATTGGCAGAAGTCAATTTATTTCGTACTCATTATTTTCGTATTTTAAAAAAAGCAAACAAAATACGCCGGTTTAAGAGAAGTTAATTGACGGAAGATAGATAATAGATCCAGCATGTTTTATAATTAGTTTTTCTTAATGTATTTTGTTATCTTGACAGGTTAAAGCCAGCTATGTCACATCTTGGTCCTGCCAGTAATGTCCCCTCATCAAATATTATTCCTTCACAACAGGATCTAGCTGCAAGACGGGGAAGTATTGGAAGTAAAGGAAGGAGACGTAGTACAGTTGGAAATGTACTTCATACTGCTGAATCCATAAAAGAGAAGCAGGTTTGGTAGATTTGTCAGTGTATCCAAAGTGTCCCCTGACTCTGAGATCTACATCTGTGCCTGACTGTTAACTTTGATATCATTACATCTTTCATCCTGACCCAAAGTCAGTCCGGTCCCATAATTGGGCAATTGAGCTCCACACCCCAAGTGTCTCACAGTCTGTGGAGGTTAAGTGTAAGGAAACATAGAAAATAAATGCGACAAGCAGAAAAAAACTTTTTTAAAAAACAGTTTCGACAGATCGCATTATTTTTTAACAAGGGGATTATAGTAATTTTTGCAGTATATCCCAACTTTAAATTATTTAAAACCGGGGTTGCGGGTGAAGAAATTTTTTTTACTTAAAATTGGGAACCCAAGGAAAATTTAGAACCCGGGGGCTAGGGGGCACTGAAATTTTTAAAACACTGGGTAAATTGTGTAAACACTTAGACATGCCAGAATGTTAAAGGACCTTTTTTTCTGGTTTTTTTTTTCATGATTGACATTTTTTCAGCCTAAAGTTTTAATATTAATCAACATCTTTGTTGAGTTTTTTTTTATTTAAGGAGTATGCATTCTAATTCTGATACAAAATTCTGTGACTGGATATAAATGAGAATATTATATTTAAGGTTTAAAAATTACCTTTGCTATTTGTAGGGTTTCTTAATCGGACAAAAATCATAATCGATCATCGAAAATAATCGAACAACCCTTTCGATCAATCATTGATTATATAATCGAAACATTTACAATAACAAAGGAAATATGTACAAACTACCACTTTATCAACTGAAATAAACTAGTTTACAGATAGTACTTTGCTCATCTTTGAGTAAAAATATTTTAATGAAAAAATTCATTAAAATTTATTAAAATATTATGTTCAATAAAGGGAAAAAAAACTTTTTGGGAAAAATTAAAGTGGTCCTTCTAAAAAAAACTCGTTTTTTTAAATGACAAACATGTATATATATTTTATTGTATCCCGCCCTTTAGTGGTAGAATAATTTTATACAAACATATTCTTTGGGGAATCAAAACATTCTATTTTTTTTTACAAAAAAAAGTGTACATTCAAAATTTTTTTAATTCAATTTGACACAGAGAATCTATATTTAAAACTTAATAGAATGCCTCACTGTCAATATTAAATCCCCTTACCAGACGCTTTTATATTCATTTGAATGAAAAATATTTTTTCAACCAAATGGCTTTAAAATTTTGAGGGGTTTAATCAGTATCACTTAATAACAGCAAAAAAAAAATTTCCAATAATCGTTATTAAACTTTGAAGATATCGCCCAACGGCCTATAAAAATCAATTTTTTGATTTCGATGATCGTTTAATCCCTAGCTATTTGTATCATTCCAGATATAAAAAAAAACAAAACAATCATACGCAGTATAGGCTAGGAATACATTTTAATTAATCAGGTTATTTTGACAAAGTTCAAAGGACCCAACTGACCTTTGATCTAAGCAAAGAGGCATATCATATGCCATCAATCACCAGCCCAATATAATAGGGCCATTTACAGGGTTTTACGGGACGGAATATTCTGCGTCTCTATACGCATAAATTTTGACATGTACGCATGTAAGTTATCCACTTGCGTCCAAGTGTACGCACAAAAATAATCCTAGACAGTAGATATTATTGTTTCTGACCAGACATGATTTTATCTCTTTCTTCTCGAAGCTCACAAAATTCCAGTTAAAATCTAATACAGTGAGCAGAAAATGCTTGCATTTGTTTATTTTGGAAGTTAACATAATTGAAATCTACTGCGCATGCTATTGGCATTATAAGTGCCCACTGCAGAAACTGATGACATTTACAGTGCAAGCTACAGTTACTGATGACGTTTACCATAAAATCTATTTTACGTTAGCTGTTTTGGTTTTTCTGTGGCTATATTTAAACGGACTATTTATAACAGGCAATTACTGTTGGTTAGCGTATCCAATTGTCGACGAATGTATTTGTACAGGAACGGCGATAATAAAAAGGCAGTGTTTTTTTTGCAAACTTATTTTCATAGTGTTATAGAAATTTAAGTCACTGGGTATGTAATTATCGGTGGTGTTATAAATATAATGGTTTTGGCGAACTTAACTTATGAGGAGGTGCAAAAGTCGTTTTGTCAGCCTTGTGTTATATGATATTTTTTAAAAACGCAACATATTTAGCTGACTGGTCTGTAAAGACATTAATTGTGAGCTAAACTATTTACAAATAGATCAGTACAATTTTCAGTCTGTTTGTGTAATCACCTTATCAATAACAGAATATGCTACTTAAACTTGACACTCCAGCCACTGAAAGACTAAGCCTGTTTGTGTAATCACCTTATCAATAACAGAATATGCTACTTAAACTTGACACTCCAGCCACTGAAAGACTAAGCCTTGGAAATAGCACATGATATTATTGTAAAGGGGCTATAATAAAAACCTAGTGATAACAGATATTGAAATTACATACTACTTATGAGAACAGTACAATATACATGCATATTTCTTACAGGGTAAATAAATTATTTTAAGCAAAATTGAGTGGTTTTCATAGCCTTTTTAGTGAATATAATTTTGGACCCCTAAAATTTAGGTCATGGACCCCTACTTTCGCAGGCTGTGCATCCACTGGACCCCTAAAATTTCAAAGAGATGTAAAACCCTGCATTTACCATGCAGCAAATCTTGTTTTATTTTTACATTGTCCACTTGAGATATTAAACAACTGTTAATATTTACATATTTAAAATGGATAGATATGTTTTTTTCGTGAACAAAATATATCTCAAGCAATAAATGAAACATTTTGTTTGGTATTTCACAGTTGAAGGCGGTTGATCGATTTGCTCTCAATTGCAAAAGGGATGCTCTGATTGACTAATGCCGATAATTGGCAGTTACCGATTATAAGCAAGAATTGCTTGGGAGTTTACTTTTTTCGGCAAATGAGTCTTGTGCCTGTAATCGTAAGAAATTAAAGTATTCAACTGATGAAATTGATAAATTATTCAACTCATGAATTTAAACTAAACAAACAGTACGAGGGTTGATCAATATATTCATGGACACTTTTAATAACTTAATTATTAATCAAGATATTATAAAGAATTTTCGCTATTTAGGAGAAGAATTTAATACTTTTCAAATATATTGTGATTTTTTTAAAAATTGTCCTTATTTTGGCGTGCTTCTTTAAAATATGAAAATGACGGCAACTTTCTTTCATATTGTTTATAGAACATTTAAAGAAAACAAGCGTCGCTACTATTTCTTTTGTTTGTTGTGTTGTTAATGGAGGCAGGGGTGTGTCACTAGAGAGGAGCACGACGTTGTTGGAGCAGAGGGCAGTAATTAAGTTCTGTGTAAATCTTGGTATGACGCCAAAGCAGACTAAAGAAAACATGGAAATTGTATCTGGAACAAAAAAGTGTCTTATTCGTTAGTTTATAAGTGACACATACACTTCCGTGTGGGTAGAGTTGAACTTCAGGATGATAAGAGATGCGGCAGACCAGTTGAAACTTGTTGTTATGCGTACGTTATGCGAGTGAAATTGAAGGCAGAGTTAAAGGGACACAAGTTAACCGGGTTCCTTGATTTACAGTCCATAGCATTGTCTGTGTTGCGTTCATTTGATACTTCATTGTATCAGAACATTTTCAGTCAGTGGGCACACAGGCATGAATGATGTGTAGAAGTCGGTGCTGCATTTTTTGAGAAGATGTAACGCCGACGTCCCGACGTAACGTAAGTTGCGAATGAGCTGCGGCGATCAGCTTTACATGTATTGCTGAAAACTGTCATTTTGGATAAAATATACGGATTATTTATCTGAAACTTACACATCAAATTGATAAATAATTGAATAAATGTCAAATATAATTATATCAACTTTCCTTCCCCAAAAAAACAATTTATTGAGTGTGTCCACGAATTTATTGATCAACCCTCGTACATGTGATTAATATTTTGGATTATAAACTACCAGATTTGCATGCACAAATTTTGAGAGCATACGTCTTTTTTCGCACATTTAGATTAATCAGTCAGCACACAAAAGTGATAATGAATATTTATATGAAAAAAATGTGTAAACCTAGTTTTTGTCCTTGGAGGGGTGAATGTTTGCAATTTTTCAAATGTAATAACCAAAGAGTTAAGACCAATCAAATAACAGCTTATTGACTAAAGTCACTTATAGACTACCCCACTATTAAGACCAGTTTTGTCCAGAACCACTAGAATAGTGGACTCATTAGGGGGGTTCTACTGTACTTCCATTATCATTTCTCAACCACATGCGATCAACTGTTTATCGGCTTAAACTGGCTTTAATTTTTAGGTTGAGTGAAGACCCAAGTTTATACTTTGTTATTTAAATAAACTGCCTTATTGCTTGCAGTTAGTGATTTTTATTTAAATATACAGTACTTAATGCTCAAATTGGTATTTGAAAATACTGATAATTGCTACACAGTCTGTTTTGTTAATATAAAATAAACATTCCTTATTGATAATTTTTAAGAAAATTTAGTTAAATATAAAGTAGAATAAATTCAAAATCTTAAATGCATTGACTGATTTCACTCGGAAATCAAGCGGGCGAGTAGATTTGTTGAGGCCTTGGTATTTTTTGTGTGTGTTTTTATTGTTGTGTTTTCATCTTATTAGTATGACCTCCATAATGCATTACCAGTGCAGTCATTAAATTTAAGATTTTGAATTTACTGGCCCAAATTCAAGTTTTTAATTTATTCTACTATATATTTAACTAAATTTTCTTAAAATTTACACTGGCCCAAACTAATTTACACTGAACTAATTTACACTGGCCATGGGCCACGGGGCCTAGTGTTAAATTTGATGACTGCAAAGTTCAGGTCATGCAGGTAAAAAATTTGACAAAACTAGACCGGTTATGAGAGTAAGATTCTCCAAATCTGAATGATGTTTCTCTTTTAATTTAACATTTATAACTGAAGTTATTTGGTTACCAATTTATCTGCACTCGCCTTTTCAATCGTAATACCTGCCAAACGAAAACTCTAAATCAACCTCATAGCTAAGAATTGTGTATAAAACTTTACCAAACGTGTACATGGTGTATGATGAATTAATACCTCCCCTTCCTAAACGACAGCAGCATTTGACACTGCTTTATACATACGCTTTCACCCATTCCAATTAGCCAATTGTGTTAGAATTTGAATGATATAAGTATGCAGACTATATCAAAGTTTATATATTTAGATTTTTAGATTATATAAGTTTGAAAAGTATTATAAACAAAATGTAATTAGATAAAGCCAGTTATACCGATATAGACCAGTAAATATGTAATTTGAGTCACATGCTTTTGATTTTAACTATTTTTGTCCCTCAAAATGAATTGGGCAAGTACATTTTGTGATGGGCAAGTAAATTTATATAGTCACTCGCCGTGCAGAAGTGGCCCTAGAAAGATTCTTCGAGGGCTGATTCATGCAAACAATCTGAAATAATTGAACTATCTATATTTGTTTTTACTTCTAGGCAAGGGCAAGAGATGCCAGGGAGACCAGGAGAGCCTTCTTAACTCCAGCTCATAAGTTTATTTTGGGTTTAGTAGGAAATCATCTCAATCTTGATACTGGGGTCATTGAAGAACTAATACTGGACTCAGAAAGGGTAATATTAAACTTACAAATGATCATTCTATATCTATTTTTCCCCACTGAAACGGTATTGCATTGTGTAACTCTGTGAAGGAAACATTATTTTAATATTATTTAAAGTTTTCTTTTTCGTTAATTTTTTTATGATTCAAAGGAAAGGCCCCATTATTTATTGCTTTGATTAGCGGTGAAACTTTGCTATTGGTACATGGAAATTATTAAAACCTGGACAAACATGACAATTGTGCAAATATATCAATGCAATATTTCAATGCATCTCTGTGTGTGTCATTAGTTTTATAACTTTCGGGACAATAAAAAGAGATAGGAATAAGATATTGTTATCAAATTTGGTATATATAGCAAGCTTATAATAGAAGACCCAGATTGGGTTTGCTTTTCGACCCCCAGGGGTCAAGCTCACTGTGGTTTCCGGACAATAACATTAATTAAGAATGAGTTATTGTAATCAAACTTGGTATTTGGAAACTCCCGTTTGGATTGCATTTGGAACCCCTAGGGTCAATTGTCACTTTTACTAAAAATAAAAAAATGGTTTTTGAACAATAACTAGATAAAGGAATGAGATATTATAATCAAATTTAGTATAAAACAAGCTTATATGAAGACCCTGGTTGGGATTGCAAAAATTGAAATAATTCTTTGTTACAATTGTACTCAATTGAAACTTCATAAATTGTAGGTTAAGACAGAGTTAAAATTTTGCTTCAGACAACTTATTTTTCAAAAAGTCAAGGTTGCTGGTGGGGGTATTAATCACCTTTAGTGATAGCCTAGTTAAATATACAAAAATGAAACAATGACACATTTTTGTGCTTGTTTGAAAATTGGTTGTGTAGCCTAGTTTCAACTTTTCAGACGTTATCAAGGTGCTGTATGCATTAAAGGATAAATTTAAATAAGCAAAAGTACAATGACATAAAAAGTTGCCAATAAATTTTTGGAAAAAATCTTGTGTAAGAAATGCTTGTTTTTTGCATCTATCAATTAATGGGAATAGTCCAATACATATGTTTTTTTTTTTATTTTGATTATTCTGAATTTATGAATAAGAACGTGGTAAAAAGAATCTGTTGTATTTATTAAGTCATAACTTTCTTAAATGTTTATCAGAAATGACTAACCTCATTTTGGAAGTTATATCTATGTTAAACTTGGAAAGACATTTAATAATTGTTTTCATTTTGTTGGGCCTTTTGTTTTTTTATCTATCAACAACAGTCATGTAAATGACTCTGAGGTTGTTTTTTTGTTACAGAACATCGAGATTTTTGAGTCATTCATGAACAAAGATAGTATAAAATGTCTCAAATTTTATTATCAAGAGGCCCCAGTGCCAAGTTTAGAAGGTAAGTTGAGATTATTTTTCTTTTTATCCAATTATTAAATTTTATTTATTATTTTATTGTGTTTGTGATCAAGTGATAAAAGATTGTTGATTTCAACTGCTGTGGTTTCAAATCCCCCATCGATTTTGGATTTTGGATTCTTTTATTTGGATAAGCCATCCAGCTCAACATATGGAATCTGGGGATCTACTCGGGTTCCTGCTTGCACCTGAAAATTATGATTGTTTTAATTATTGTATTCAGGGCTGCCGATTTTCGCGATTTGCGCGAATCCGCGGATTTCGTGAGCTCCTGGGTCATTTTTGAGATCGATGTAAATTCGACAAAGACAATAAATTCATTCGTCATATTTTATACAGTACCCAAAAACCGGCACGCTTCGGCTTTTATCGTGACGCTAGCCGCCTATGGTACGTCTGTAAGCGCTTTTCTCATTAGTCAAAGTCATTTCCGGCATTCTAATTTAGAATAACCAATCAAATTACAGTTTACATTGTCGCTCTTGTCTGTTGTCAAAATGCGTCAAAATGTCTGATATTTGTTTTGAGGGCTGATGTAACTTAAAGTCCAACTAAAGTGTCTCTAAATGGCTTTAAAGGCAACCAAGGAAGTCAAATTTAGAGTCCAGGAAATTGATTTTAGGGCATACCAAATCATCAGAATCCCGAAGCCCCCTGGGCACCCACCAGGGCTCTGCCCTGGACCCACAAAGGGGGCTTGCGCAGCCCCCTTGACGCCCGGCGTATTTTCCTCTGATTTTGCAATTTGCTGTTGGCAGCCCTGTGTATTGTGTGAGAATAAATTAAATTTGCATGTGCAGTGTGTCATTTAATGTTCTAGATAATATTTGGGTCAGTTAATTTTCTTTAGAGTTTTTTCAGTCAGTTAGTTTTTTACTAATGTATTTTGATAAAAACTTGTCTTATTTTAAAAAATGCAAATTGTTTTATCCACATTGATAACCATTTACAGCGATTTTTTTCCCTATATAAGTGGTACCGAATAACGGACCCATTCACAATCAAGAACGGATCTTCACAATTTTCAGACTGGGTCCGTCGTGGACCTGTTCACAATTCTGATGAAATTTCACAATTCCGATTAATTAAGCCTTTAATAACGTATTACTTCCTCTCTTCGCATAATGATGCTAAAGTAAAATTTTGCCTGTTGTGCTTTGTTTATCTTAAAATGCGTTTAGCCGACCATGATTTCCAGTGCAATCACCCTTATATTTAAAAAACTATATGTTCTTACTGCTTAATAAGCTATTCACAATCTTAAGTAAAAAATTCACAATTTGTTAAGAAATGATGCTTTTTTTCACAATTTTTATGGTACAGGACCCATTCACAATTCAGGGAAGAAAATCGCTGATTCAGTTAGTATATCTACATAGTTGGCTTATATTGTTCCAGGATTCTATTAGTTGTAGCACGTACCACCGTAGGGAAGGTGTTACAGTATCGCGTTTTTCGGTTGCAGTATAGAATTTTCAAGATGGAGGATTATTTATGGGAAGAGAGGTAGGTGATTTTTATTTAGGTCCATACTACTAGTAGTGTAGTTTCTAAAAGATGTTTTTGTTCTTTGCTTGTAAGAAACAGAATCCGGTATCTAGTCATATATTTCTTCAGACCCTGCACCGCAGATTTATCTCTATATTGTCTCATAAATGTGCAGATTTGACGGTTTAAAAATTTGAATCGAGAGACCAACGCATTTTTCTCCCATTCCGACATTATTTAAGCATGCCTAGATAAAGTAAATCTACAAAATGTTAGTCCTTTATGTTTAGAAACGTTTATAAAAGTAAATGACCAGTTGAACCTATTTTCCTGTTGGTAAAATGCGTTTGAAAAAATAAACAATGTTACAGTATAGAGCGAGGTTAATTTTGAATGGTAACAGCATAGACCTAGCGACTTTGATCCAATTTTGTTACAGTTTATACCCAGATTTCAGTTACAGTTTAGATACTTGCCAATTTCAAATAAAGTTTGTGTATCCATTATTTTTATGAAATAACTCATACCTTTCTATTTTATACATTCTTGAAAGGTTGTATTACTTTTTAGCTCACCTGAGCATATGCTCAGGGTGAGCTATTAGGATCACTCTTCGTCCGTCGTCTGACGTCCGTCGTACGTCATCCGTCGTACGTTGTCCGGTCACACGTTTAAAACGAGATCTCCTCTGAAACCATAAGGCAGATCATAATGAAACTTCACAGGGATGTTCCTTGTGTGAAGCCTTAACAAAGTTGTTCAAAGAATTTAATTCCATGCAGAACTCTGGTTGCCATGGCAACCGAAAGAAAAAAACTTTAAATATCTTCTTTTAAAAATCCCTAAGAGCTAGAGCTTAGATATTTGACATGAAACATCTTCTAGTGAGTGTCTACCAAGTTTGTTCAAATAAAAGCCCTGGGGTCAAAATTAGCCCCGCCCCAGGGGGTCATTGATTTTCCCTATATGCATATAGTAAAAACTAAAAAATCTTCTTTTAAGGAACTCAAAGAGCTAGAGCTAAGATATTTAGCATGAACATGTTCTAATGGGTGTCTACCAAGTTTGTTCAAATAAAAGCCCTGGGGTCAAAATTGACCCCGCCCCAGGGGGTCATTGATTTTCCCTATATGCATACAGGGATCATTCTAGGGGGCGATTTCCACGATTTCTCGCCAAAAAAATCACCAAAATCTCAGAGAAATTTGTGAAATGAGAGAAAATCTCGCACGGCAATTTGAGCGGGAAAATGTCTAATCACAATTTAAAGAATGCTATAATTACACAAAAATATGATGAAAAATTCACGATTCCCATCAAAATTTAATTTCAAATTGTTTATTAATGAAATCGGTGTAAAAAAACTCCAAAAAGTAGTCCACACTTCGAATTATTTAGGCTAAAATAATTGCCGATCGGAGACCGCAAATGCACCGTACAGAAATACGGTATGATGGCTAACCTTTAGACTATCTGTAAGTCGAGAATTTTCACAAAACACTTTTAATTGATTTCAATAAAAATTGTTAGACACAGACTAACATAAAAATGGACATGTCAAAAAACAAATACCGGTAAAATTTGTCTTCTAAATGTCATATCAACCACGGTAAATTTTGCCGTAAAGAACAAATTAAAAAAATTTGTGTTACAATTTCTGATGAAATAGCCGATAATAAATATTCTTTTATTGAACAAAAATATTTAATTTTATACAATTGCAATCAGCAACAGCTAGAATTGTGAATGTTACAGCGGAAAACAGACAAATATTCATTTGTCACATATTTTCGCGATGTCGTGATAAAAAAAAAATACTAAAACTTGTAAAAGGAAGCTGAGTGTTATTTAAAGGTACACTAAAAATGATTTTTATGAATAAAAATTACTTTAGGTATTGTTTATATTTGTGGATATGGAGATATTTGTCATGTGTTCAGGTCACATATTCAATGAATATTTTTTAATGGAGGGAGGTGTGTGAAGAGAATCATAAAGAAAACAAAATGTAAGTTTATAAAAAATATTCTTCAAATCTCAACAATCATTTCTGTACAGTATAGTGTTGTCCATTAGGAACATTGGCTGCAAATAATAGTTGCAGTAGATATGATATCCATGTATAATTCTTTTATATTTCAGAATAAAGGTGTTATATTTATTTTTCACAATTAGAATGTTATTGTGTTTAAAAATTCACAAAAGAAAAGGCATAGGATGTGTTAAAAAAGTGAAAACAAAAATCACTGTAATAAACAGAGCTTCATCTTCTTATATCCACATTAGGTAAACAATGTTTATATGTACACTCACAGTGATTTTAAAAAGTTAGAAATTTCCATATTTTTAACCTCGCCCATCGTGAAAATTAAATCTCTCAAGAAAATCTAATTTCTCTCATTAAAATTTCTCAAATGAGAGAAAATCTCTCACTAAAAATCCTGACCAGACTGATCCCTGTGCATATAGTAAAAACTTAAACTAGAAATGTGTCATCATGCCACGGATGCCCCCACATGCAGCCAAAATTTCAGATGGTGCATTAATTATTTTTTTCATTTTAAGTTCAAAGCCCTTAAAACTTTTCAATGTTAACACAAACCATATTCATACAATGTTCAAGGCACTGAAATTATTCAGTCTTAACCTTTTAAAAATAGCATATTGCATATTTGTAGCCAAAATAATTAATGGCTAAAAGTACGAGTGCTGAAACTGAAAGTTCAAAATTTTCCAACATTCAGGAAAGATAAGTTTGTCTAAAATCATTGAACCACGACCAAATTCAAACTTAAACTGCTTATTCCTAAGATGTATCTATATTATTTTCAAAGTGAAAGGGACATAACTCTGCCAAAAAATCATCAAACCATGACCAAATTCCAACTTGACCTGCCCATTCCTTTGACATATCCATATGTCAAATTTAAGTTGAATATGTAACACTGTTGGGTAGATAATGTACAGAAACGGTAAATTTCATATTATTTTCAAAGTGAAAGGGGCATTACTCTGCCAAAAATCATTGAACCATGACCAAATTCGAACTTGGCCTGGGCATTCCAAAAACATATCCATATGTCAAATTTGAGTTGAATGTGATGTACCATTGGGGAGATAATAAACGGAAACTGAAAATTTCATATTACTTTGAAAGTGAAAGGGGCATAACTCTGCCAAAAATCATTGAACCTTGACCAAATTAGAACTTGACCTGCGCATTCCTTTGACGCATCCATATGTTAAGTTTGAGTTGAATGTGTTGTACCTTTGGGGAGATAATGAACGGAAACTGAAAATTTCATATTATTTTCAAAGTAAAAGGGGCATAACTCTGCCAAAAATCATCGAACCATGACCAAATTCTATCTTGACCTGTATTTTCTCATGACATAGCCATATGTCAAATTTGAGTTGAATGTGTGCAACCGTTCTTAAGATAATGAACGGAAACTGATGATGACGGAACAGGGTAACACTATATGCCCCGGC